TTGAACTTGGGTCTTTGGGCTTAAGCTAAATCCCCTGCCCAATAGTTTGTTTTTTTAAAAAATAGGACTCTATACTTTTAATATAGGTCAGATCTTAGCAGGAAATGTTATCCCGACTTTACAGAAGAGGCTGATGTGAAAAATTCAGATTTCTTTGTTGTAAGCTCAACTATACAGTATGCTCCAAAAGAACATACAATCCTAAAACCTCAAGCTTTGAGTAATTCTATAAATGGTGGGATTTTTTTTTCCTTTTATTTCCTGTAGCTTTAGCCTAGTGTGTGCAAGGTCCTTGCTATGGGTGTTTGTCCATATTAAATATCTAGATTTCTCTGCTGGATTCAGAGTTGTATTTCTTTGGGACATTGTTATCTGGTTTTTCCATTATTAAAGAAGTATAGACGAGCTTGTTTCCATCTTTCTCAAAGCTGTACCTTCTTTGTTGACCCCAGGTTAAACTGTACCACCCAGTTCCTCAAGCTGGAAACCTCAGCGTTATCTCTTTCCTTTATCTCAATTTACAGTTATATAAATGGTCTCCAGAACATGCCGTTCTACCTCGTGACAAGTTCTTAAGTCAATGGCTTCAACCTTGTTTAGTTTGTGCTCTTCTGCTGACCTCCAAAATGGTCTCTTTGACTTGACTCTTGGGGTATCTTAATTCTCAGCCATTCTATCCTGGAAAAATGTCAGTTGTCTAATTTAAAATCATGATTAATATTGAAAATACTTATTTTTTTCTTTGCCTGTACTGGGAAGGGAACTGAGGGCCTCTTGGGTGTTAAGCAGGTGCTTTACCCCTGAGCTACATTCCCAGCCTTTTTTATTTTTTATTTTGAGACAGAGTTTCAAGAATTTGAGGCTAGCCTCAAACACTTTGGATTCTCCTGTGGATTATAGGTGTGTGTCACTGCATCTGGCAAGAATACTTGTTTTTAAAGTTTTTTTTTCTTCCTTGCTATAGAAAGAAGTTTGGAGAACACAGGCTCTTTTGAGACTCACTCACTCCCGCCCCACTTGGATATTTTGTTTTGTGTTTCTCTGGTGTGAGAAACTGAAAGTGTAAATGAGGATCAAAAAATGTATAATAGGTAATGTAAAATAGGAAGAAAACGTCTAAAGGGGAAGGGGAAGTAGAAGCAGGGGAAAGAAAATATGAGAAGAGGAAAAAATAGAAACACGGTTTTTGTAAATAGGGAAGGGTGGAGGGGTTGAAGGGAGGTCAGGGGAAATGGGAAAAATAAGAAACAAGATAGTTTTAATTAGTGGAGTCATCTTTTTTTCAGGTTCATCATATGAGGGATTATACCTAATTAGTAGGGCTTCAGTTGCCTCATTTGTGAAATGAGGCAGTTGGATTTGATTTTCAAGATACTTTATACCTCTGAAGTTGTTTAATTCTGGGTTTTATTTATAATAGAATTTTCTTTGGTGGACGATTACCATCTATTGGTAGTAGTGAAAATTATAACTGTTTATTTTTGTTTTTTTTACTACGTAAAAAGATGCTCCTGCCTCAGCCTTCCAAGTGCTGGGGTTATAGGTGTGTGCCTTCATACCTGGCTAACTCATTATTTTAAGTTGATTATCTTGTGGCGGGGGCAGTACCGTTGGACTGAACTGAGGACCTTGTGCTTGCATGGCAGTGGAACCACTGTGCTGAATCCATGGCCTGAAGGATCTCTTTTTAATTGGGAGTAAAAATTATATTGATGGGTGAAGGATAAGGATCTAGTGGCTAGTGTAGTTTTTCAAATTTTGGCCTGATACTTGTGAGAAGGAAAAGAAGTTAGCTACTTAATAGATGGTATCTTACAAGAAAACATATAAGGAGGTATTTTATTTTTCAAGATACAATCAGAAACCTTTTTTAGTTCTATTAGTTTTTGAATATGTAGTGTAGAGTGAAATGAAAAATGAAATACTTACTTACTCCAAAAGTATCAAACTGGTACCTCTCAGAATAGTTAGTATCTTTTTTTTTTTTTTTTTTTTTTTTTTTTTTTTTTTTTTTTTTTTTGGTACTAGGGATTGAACTCGGGTCCTCATGCTTGCAAGGCAGGTGGCAAAACCACTGAGGTAAATCCCTGGTCCAGAATAGGTAGTTTATCGGGTACCCTCCCAGTGTTCACCTGTTGATGGCAGAATGAAAGCTCTCCATAACCCTGGTGTTGGCTTTTAGGGCCACATTCATAGAAGACATAGTTTTTCAGGGAGCAAAATAGGTTCGATCTCTACATTCCCCACTTCTGCAGATTTCATGAGTGGCAGTGATTACCCAATGCTTGTTTTTTAGAAGTTTGACCTTTATTCCTTTTTTTTTTGGTTCTGTGAATCGAACTCACCTCCTTGTGTTTGCAAGGCACTGAGCCAAATCCTGGGCCCTCCCAATGCTTTCACATATCTGTGACCTGTGGTAAAATAGATGCTGCAGTCCACCAGGTGTCCTTGACCAGATATTATTTGCCATTTCCTTTGAAGTGATAGAGCTTGGTACCTGGTAGGTTGATGGAGAGATAGGCCTTTGGTTTTTGGGGTCTTCTTCGTAAATAAGCTTTCAAAAGAAAAGAAAATTCTGTGTAAGAGTATATTCATAGGTGCGCATGTGCTTCCTTTGGCCTTTCAGGTTAAAACAAAGTATGTTTGAACTTAACATGAGATACTAAATAACTGCTTCCTTTTCCAGCACAGAAGATAAGATAACAATCCACTTTATAAACCGGGATGGTGAAAAATTAACAACGAAGGGAAAAATTGGTGACTCTCTCCTAGATGTTGTGGTGGAAAATAATCTAGATATTGATGGTTTTGGTGAGTATGAAACATTCCCTAAAGTTCATAAGTGTAAGTATTTTTTTATTGTTTATTTTTATTTATTTATTTTGAGACAGGGTCTCACTTTGTAGTTCAGGCTGGTCTGAACATTCTCTAAATTTCATAAGTGAAACTTTTTTTATTGGCATATTTTATTTTTTGATTTTTTGAGATGGGTCTCACTGTGTAGTCCAGGCTGGCCTCAAAATCTTGTTGATCCTCTTGCTTCAGTCTCCTGAGTGCTGGGATTATGGGCATATACCACCATGCCCAATGAAACTATTAAATAGATTTCATTTTTTAAAGGAATTTTAATTTATAGCTTACCTAGGTAAAATACTGAAATTCAGGATGTGTTACTATTTTATTTTCACTTTTAAAGAATGATAATGACATTATTCTAGTCTTTGTAAAGAATTTAAATAATCATGTGGCCAGCATTCTACTGTAGCCTTATTACCTTATTTTTTACCTTTGTGATGCAAAGCTAAGGTTAAGGAGTAGGGTTAAAAGATACCAGTCTAGAGATAAATATATCACAGAGGGTTATTTAGTTTTTAGTTATTTGTTTATAATTATTACTATTTTTGGTGGCACTGGGTATTGCACCTAGGGCCTTTTGTATGCTAGGCACATGCTCACTGGACTGTGTCCTCAGCCCTTTTTATTGTATTTATTTAATTTTAAAAAGTTAATTAAAAAATTTTTTTAGGTACCAGAGATTGAATTTAGGACCTTGCACTTGGGAGGCAGGTGGCTGCACCACTGAGCTAAATCCTCAGCTATTTTTATTTAACTTTTTTATTAGTGAATGTTTATAGTACATAATGGTTATATTTATTATGGGGAGCTTTTTTTATTGGTTTATATTTTATTTTATTTTTATACATAACACTTTAATTCCTTTTACTTTTCCTTCCCCTCCCATCCCTTCCTGCTATCTCCAACTCTTGTTTCTCTGCCCATTTGTAAAAGCTCTGTTGCCATATTTTTTTCGGTTCACTTCTTAAAAAATCCCTTTCCCCTTTTGTCCCTCCTCCCTTTATGTATCCTCCTGCATCTTGTGTTCCCCTTCCCATTTGAAAAAGATCTCCCTACTTCTATTATCTTATCTTTGGTTTTGCTAAGTTGCCCAGGCTGGGTCCCAATTTATAATCCTCCAGCCTCAGCCTCCTGAGTGGCTGGGATTTTCGACATGGGCCATCATATCTGGCTTTGGAATTTATTCCTAAATGTCAGCTCACATTCCTAGGGAAGGTAACTTATCCTAAAAAGTGTGCTGTTTAGAAAGTTTTCATTTTTATATCTCTGAGCATATTTGTTACCCATGTGTATATATACAAAGTACATGTTTCAGCAGTTGACATCTTATATTTTCTCAGACATCTGTGAGTTTTACTTAAACACCATCTCTGTCTGGAATGGTCACTCTCAAAGAGCATTCGTTCCCTTGATAATTGCCATTTACGTGCCATTCCTGGGAAATGCAGATTCTCAGGCCTCACTTCAGATTTTCTGAGTCTGAGTCTGAGATAACTTAGCAGTGTATGTTTTAACAGGCTGATCTATGACTCTGATGATGAATGTTCAAGTTTGAGAGCCACTAGTCTAGAATGAGGTCTAAGGCACATAACTGATTGTGCCTCTTTTCATATTTCATGGCATAGTTCACTTGCACTTTTAAGAGCTAGATCAGAATTTTTTAAATTAGACCAGAAATTTTTAATTCTAGATCAGAATTTTTTCTTCATTTTCCTGTGATATATTAAATCTACCTCCCTGTGTTAATGCTCATCACAATTCCCTATCATGAATATTATATATATATCTAAAATGTACTAATAAAACAAAAAAAGCAAACAGGTATAAACAAGGAGTTGTCTCATTAAGTCCAGGTCCCACAGGGGAGGTCTGAACCAAGGACAGAAAGATGCAGAGATATTTCTAACATCAAAAGATTTGAAACAATCAGGTCCTCATCAATAGAGAACTGGTGTGTAGTGAAACAACGGGATGTTATATAGTTCTGTAAAAGAAAAAAAATGCCAGGACAGGTATCATAGTTTACCTGTTGGCAACAGAGAGTCAGAGGGAAATTTTTGTTACAAAACTTCTTATGCTTTTTGATTTTCTAACAATGTAAATAGCTTACCTGTTTTAAAATTTATTTAAGAAAAAGTCAAGGAGACAATATAAGTGTCCAATAATAGAAATTAGATCCATGGTGCTATTTAAGAATAAAATTAAATAATTAAATTAAAAAAATAGTACATAAGCATTGTGGGTGTTTGCAGTGAATCATTAATAACAGAATACTGCTTGTGGATGAAAAACACAATGTAATTAGTTGTTTTACTTCCTGTTTTTGATATACACTGTAAAAGTACTAGAAGGAGAGTTATCCAACTTTTTTTTTTTAGTACCAGGAATCAAACTCAGGTCCTTGAGCTTGTGAAGCAGGCGCCAGAACCACTGAGCTAAATTCCCTGCCCAATCCAAATGATTAATACTGGCTTCTTGCTCTGATTGTAGGTTTGTCATTGCTCCTCTGCTTTTTTTCTGTAGTGACATAGTACTTATCTTAAACTCTTTAAATTACTGACCTTCCTGTGTCTCACTGTCATTGTCTATCAAATGAAGGTAATGATAATACTCATCTCAGATGGTTTTTTGTAAGGATTAAATTAATATGTTTAGAACATATTAACACATAGCAAGTGTTTTAAATATTTGCATTTGTTTTTATTATAGAAAAATAGTCCATATGCCCATTGAAATACTCCTTCATGCCCATTAAGATGGCTGGTACCAAAAAACTGGAAAACAAGTATTGGCAAGGATGGAGAGAAATTGGAACATCTATGGATTTTTGGTGGGAGTGTTAAATAGTGCAGTTATTATGGGAAACGGTTCAGTGGTTCCTTAGAAGTTAAACAGAATTATCATTACTAGCTAGCAGTTTTACTCCTTGGTAGTGGATTCAAAAAAATTGAAAGCAGGGACTGAAATATAGATACTTGTATACTAATATTTATAGTAGCTAAAAGGTAAAATCAGTTGTGTATATAAATAGATGCATAGATAAAATGTGGTATAGACCTATTGGAATTTTATTCAGCTATGAGAATGAAATTATGACACATGCTAGAACGTGAACCTTTATAATACTATACTAAGTGAAATATCCATACACAATATCTGTTAGGTTAGGCAGTATACAAATGCTGTATGGTTCCACTTTAATGGGGTACTTAGAATAGGCAAACTTATAGAAGAAAAGTAGAATGGAAATGACCAGAGACTGGAGGAAGGAAGAGTTATTGATTAGTGGGGCATAAAGTTTCTGAGATGATGAAAAATTTCTGGGAATACAGTGGTGATAGTTATATAATGTTTTCAATGTTCTTAATGTCACTGGATTGTACACTTAAAATGGTTAAAATGGTAGTTGAAAGGTTGGAATAAAACCTATAAAAATAAGGAAAATAACATTAAAAATCAAGACGTTGTAAGTAATTTTGGAAAATTTAAAAAGTATGTAAGTTAAAAATCATCATCATCCATTTATATAATCCAATCCTTATAGCCATTAATAACATTTCTTATTTTTTTGTTTGTTTGTTTGTTTGTTTGTTTGTGTTCTTGACACAGGTCTTGATGTGTAGTTCATGCTGGTTTTGAACTCATTAGGTACCCCAGACTGGCCCTGAACTTGAAGTGATCCTCCTGCCAGCCTACCCAGTGCTGGGATTATAGTTGTGGGCCACCATGCCTGGCTCAACTATGCTTTAAAAAACATATATAATATTTGCATTTCATGCAAATACAAATTACATAAAATAAAGGAAATATAAAATATTAGAGTTCTGTATTATATACAAACTTTTGAAATTTTGTAAGTTTCTTTTTTAAGTATTGAGGATGATCTGTTATTGAGCTACATCCCAACTCCTTGTAATTTTTAAATTCTGAAACAGCCCTCAGTTGCCCAGGCTGCCCTTCAACTTGGGATCCTTCTGTCTCCACCTCCTACATAGCTGAGATCATAGACATAGATCACTACACCTAGCTCATTTCACATTTGTCAAGATATTTGCTTAATTTTAAAGCTTGCGGTTTCAGTAAATAAAATAAAAACCGCAAGTTTTGCAGGGGTGTTACTTTATGAATTTGTTTAGCTAGTTAAAAAATATATATGTGTGCTACATAATGATTTAAAATGGAATTCATACTGTGAATTACAGTGTAAAAAATTTTTTTTGAAGAACATTTGTTAGAATGCTTAAAATGAAATCTTGCCTTGACCTGTTTTCCAGTTTTTTCATTTTACCAGCTTTATGACCTGGTTTAGGTACCTAACTTCTTCAAAACTTTTCTTCTCATCTGTTAAATTGGTAATAATATCTGCCTCATAAGGTTGCTGTGAAGATGAAATTAATTCATCCAAACAAGGGCTAAATCAATAAGCTATTTTTGTTAACATAGGTATTAATATAGATTCATTGCTCTTTATAACAAAGTTAAAAAGTATATTAAAAGAGGGTATTAAAGTTCCTTTGATCTCATCATGCAGAAATAAGCACTAAAATGACTTCTGCAGTGCCACAGAAATGTGGAAAATTTAATGTCAGTAGTGTGTTTATTAATTTGATTATATATTAGGCAATTTGTACCTGTACATGATATATCTCGCTGCTTTTTTTTCCCCATTCCCTCTCCTCACTTCAACTCTTCTTCCCCTCCTTATTTACAGAAGCTTTTCTTGGAAATCTCTAAGGTATTTAAAATTCAACATATTTAAAATAGCTTTTGATCCTGCCCGCACTCCAAAACCTGTACTTTTTTAAGTCTTTTCTCAGTAGTGAGCACAGCCTAGCTGCTCAAGCCTGAAACTGGGAGCATATTTTATTCCCTCCCTTTATCCATACTGTTAGCATCTCTCGTCATTGTGAATCTTCAGTGCATCTCCAGTATATCCTATTGGCTCCATACCTACA